AAAAAAAAAAAAAAAAAAAAAAAAAAAAAAAGAATGAAGAAGATGAAAAGATCTTCAATAAAAAAGTTACAGAACAATACGTACAGGACAATGCTATTTGTGTTTAAAAAGAAAAAAATGCCTAGATGTGTGTAAATGTACAAACAGATGCATTTACATTCATAGATGCTGGTCTGGAAAGATTAACAATACGTGTGGGATATGGGAGTGAGGGGAGAGAGTTTGTTTTTACTGTACATGCTTCTGCATCCGCTGGATGTTTTTCCATGAGAACATTTACAATATTCTAAATGGAACACTGGAAGGAAGACCATCTCTGTACCACCAGATTCAAATCCCAGCTATGGACTGAATCTCAACCAGACACCTCTGGCTCGTAACGACGGTTCCTACTGTTTTGGGCACCTGCCCTCAGCCAGGCACAGTCACTCACTTAACAGGCAGGCTAGCACTGAATCCGTGCCACGGTCCCTCGGGGAAGAGGCGCCAGCTGAGGCACCGAGGAGCCCTGCTATGCTAACTGCAGGACAAGAAGACAGAGGCAGTGATGCGTCCCCCTCTACTATGGCCACCATCACTGTCCCCTCGGTGCAAGGCCCCCTGGACCCCATCAGAGCCTGCTTGTAGGCCAATGCCTGCAAGATGCAGCAAAAGGGAAACACAGTCTGTGCCCCCCACTCCCCACCGGGGCCAGTACCTTTCGCTGCCTGCTGCTGCTCCAGGATCTTACGGGTCCGGGGGGTGGTGCCTTTGGGCATGTTGATAATGTACTTCCCCTCCATCTCGGCCGTGACCCGGCGCCGCTTGGTGGGACCAGTCAAGCTCTCCTCCTCCCGGCGGGCCAGGGCTGCTGGGGGAGGAGGGGGTGGTGAGCATCTTCTGGGATGGAATGTTCTCCTGGGGTGGGGGCTGGACGCCCTGCAAAGGGCACACACGTGCCCTTTATCACCATGCATTCACGTGATTGGAATCCCTTATCCTCCCAGCCACCCCCAAGGCCATTGGCTGAACCACCGGGAAACTCAGGGGTCTGGGAACAGTGGGGTCGCAGAAGGCTGTGGCGGGCCTCCCAGGCTCTCTGTGGCTCTGGCCCTCTGTCCCCCAGCAGGCTCACCTCCCCGCCCAGCCAGATTCCCCTCAGATGGGGAAACTGCTGGGTGGTGGAAAAGCCATCTAGGTGGTGCTTTCACAGGTGTAATCACTTTTTAAAAATTAATCAAGGTATATACTTACAATCTGTGCATCGTGCATAAGTAAATTACACCTCAATTTAAAAGAAAGACTCTCCTCAAATGTGTTGAGTCGAAGAGAGCCAGTCCCTCCCAGGCTCCCCATCTTTTCAATACTTTAGAAATGAATTTTAACTCTCTTGTTCATGGCACACAAATCGAAAGATCAGAAGGAGGATGAGGCACTTGCACACACATGTGGCCAAAAGGGGGCACGTGTGATGGAGGTGTATGGGGCGTGATGGGGCTGGAGGCCAGGACAGCCAAGCCCCGACCCTGGGCCTCTGTTTCAACTTGGGCCAAGATCACTGCTGTGGGGATGGGTCCAACAAAGGCAGGAGAGCGTGACGGACAGGAGGGCCTGGAAGCCCAAAGGCCGGAGTCCCATTCCCAGCTTACCAGCTGAGACCTGGAAGAGGAACAGCGGCCAAGCATGGAAAAGTCTGTGGAGGAAGAAGGTCCGGGAGAAGGGAACATCAGGGCAAAGACCCCACGACAGGAAGGAGCCTGGAGGGGAACCGAGGCAGCAAGCGAGATGGGAACCCACGTGTCGCAGGGCCCAGTAAGGCCATGGGGGAAGATGACCTTATTAGTGGAACAATGGGAAGCCCTGGAGAGTTCTAGACAAGGGTGTGAAAGGATCAGATTGAAGGTTTTAAAGGATCCCTCTGGCCTCTAAGAGGAAAGGTAGCTTCTTTACCTTTGACCCCAGGCATCAAGCACAGGGCCGGGCACCACTGCGGGGCTCAGTGACCATCTGTTAAAAAAGACTGAACCACCCATAGTCAACAATACTGTACTGTACACTTAAAATCTTGTGAAGAGGGTAGAGTTCACGTTAAGTGTTCTTACCACAATAAAATAAAAAGTACAAAAAGACTGAAACAGCCACCGCATGAGAACTGCAGTGCACCCACGCTTAAAGACACCATCTCGAGTGCTTCCAACCATCCTCTGGGGAGGGTGTCACCAGCCCCCTTCTACAGTGAGGCCCACAGAGGTGCAGTGATCTGACCAAGTCTGAACACTCTGGACACCTTGTGGCCTCCAAAGCACCCTGCAACATTGGGAACATGTCCCCCAAATACCGTCTGCCAACCCACATTCGCCCCCAGCTCCTCCCACCACCTGCCTGAGTCCCCTCACCGGCAGCCTTGGCACTCTTTGCTGCCATCTTGTTGGACACGGTGACAGAGATCTTGGAGGTGCTGGTGTCCGGCCGCCTGGGGGGAGTGCTGGGTGGGGAGTCTCGGTTCAGGCTGTTGGTGATCATCCGGGAGGCGGCTGCCAGGAGGAAAGAGGAGAGTCCAGTGGGGCGGGGCCCTGGGAAGGGGGTCAGGATGGGGAAGGCAACCTTGGGACCGCAGCATGGGGAAAGGGCAGCCAGAGGTACCCTGTGGCTGCACTGTCAGGACGAGCATGCTTGGGGTGGGCCTGTCTTCCCAGGAACTAGCCCGCCCCTCCCTGCCCTGGGGGCCTTTCCTGAGGTCCCAGACCAGATGGGTTCCTAGCACACTTCACCTATCAGTTACCCAGCCCTGCACTGAGCCTTCCCCGCCCCCCACCACCACGCTGGCCTCTAGGATCTTCCTCACTCAGCAAGTACATGCCTACTCAGGGCACTTGCTGTTCATAGGTCTGGCATGCAGCTCCCCCAGTAGCAATGGGCTTGCTCTGTCTCTGCATTCAGGTCTCCTCTCAGACGGCATCTTCTCAGAGAATACTTTCCTGCCCTTATTACTGCTTGACATTAAAATTTCATTTATTTGTTTACTGGTAGACTCTCCCACAAGACTGCAAGGCCCAAGAGGAGACACCTTCTGTTTATCGCTGTATCCCCAGTGCCAACCACAGTTTCTGGCACTTCACAGGTCTTCAATAAACATCTACTGAAAAGATGAACATGGTCACCAAACCTCCCAACACCCCTACTAGACAGGCTCCACTGTAAACCAATTTTATAGATGAGGAAACTGAGACTCAGGGAGTGGGGTCACTCAGCCAGGGCCCTGGGCAATGTGGGTCTGGCTCCAGTTGGGCTGGGGCAAGAAAAGAGGTGACCTCCCTCAGGGGTGGAAAGCAGTCTCTGGCCCCCCTGAATTCTGTGGAGCAGGAGAAGGGATGTCCCAGTGTGCAAGGTGGGCTACAGCAAGCAGACTGGAGGGCCAACTCCAGCGGGGGGAGGAGACGGACTGTGTCTCCAGGTGCAGCTGCTGCTAGCTTCAGGGTGCAGGTTTGCTGAGCTCTTGGGGAAGCCCTGCAGGGAGGGGAGAGGGGGAACCTTCATGCTACTACCACTTGCTCAGCAGGCCCAGCACCAACCCCCGCCCCACAATAGCTTTCAGATTTTGATATTTTGTCCTACCTACCCCCAAAAAAGCCTTCGCTCTTTCTGCCATGTGCTGTCTCTCAAAGCCTCCTGAAGTCCCCCATAATGACCCTCAACACCTGACTATAATTCCATATTGCTTGGTTACTTTTTAAATTATAACTACAGCATACAGAAAAAGACATCAAACCTACACAGATCGTTTAACATCAATTCCCATATACCCGCCACCCAGGTCAGGAACTGGGGCACTTTCGGCACCCGAGGTCCCGGGACTGGCCCTTCCCAACGAGACCTTCTCCCGCCCCACCACCCAGGAAGAAATGGTCAGTTTTCAGGCCTGCTCGCTGCTGTTGATGATTTGGCGTACACCCTCCCGTGATCTCCCCAAGACACTTCCTCAGCCCGATAGGGGTGGCTTTCTTTCTTTTTTTTTTTTTTTGGCCTCGCCCGGGCCCCAGCAGTGAAATCGCCGAGTCCTAACCATTGGACCGCCAGGGAATTCCCAGGGGTGGCTTTCTGATGAGTGGCTGTGTGGAATCTGCGCCCAGAGCCTCCACTCACAGCACTCTGACAGGCCAAATGCAACACGATCGGGATTTTCTGCTACAAAACATAAGCAGTTGAGAGGGCCTGCCTCTTGCAATGGCCACAGAGGGCAAGGTCTTGCTTAAAAGGGATATGATGTTTTCTTGCGCCAGGTAAGCATCACCTGGGTGGAGGGAAAACAGCTCTGTCTGTGAGCCACTGAAGCTGAGTTGCAGTCAGATGCCAGAGTACAACGAACTGTTCTTTGTTCCTCCCAGTGCGGACACACGTGTTCAATATTACAAAGTGTACACAAGTGGCCGGAAGGTTTTGGGGTGCTCTTCTCCACCCTTTTCCATCTGTGCCTGTTTCCCCTACTCTTTTAACTGCCTATTTTCTCCATCAGTATTTTTGTTTTAATTTTTTAAACTATTTAAGATACTCAAAATGGCATAAAAACTACATACTACCTGATTACATTTATATAGGTTTGAAAGACTGGCAAAACTAACCTAAGCTGTTAGAAATCAGGGCAGTGGATACCCTTGAGAGGTGGTGAGTGATGTCAGTCATCTTTTCTGTTTCTGGATTTGGACGCTGCAGGCTACATGCGTGCTCCATTTGTGAAAAGTCATTCAGCTGCCCCTTTGTCATCGGAACCCTTTTCTGTATGTCAGTTGAGGGGGACCATTGCAGAAACGAACCCAATTTGTTCAACTTCCCTTTGTCCATGCCTTTGGGTAGGCCCTGACCACACTGATGCTGGGCTTAGCCATGTGACTGGCTTTGGCCAATGGGACAGGAGCAAATGTTATACAAGCAGAGACTTAAGAGGTGCTTTGCACATTGGGTGCTGCCTTCTTATGCTGCTTTTGGGAACCCTACAATCACCACGGTGTAGATGAGCCTGGGCTAGCCTGCTGGATAATGAGAGACATGTGGCCAAGTCACCTCTTTTGGCCCAGATGACACCAAGCCGACCATCAGATGTGTGAGTGAGGCCATCCTAGATCAAGAGATCTAGGAGCTGCCAAGTGACCACTGAGATCAGTTGAGCTGTCCCAGAGCAGAAGTGACCAGCCAAGTCACAGAATCATGAGAAATAAACGTCTGTGTTTTCAGCAACATGGATGGACCTAGAGATTATCATACTAAGTGAAGTAAATCAGACAGACTTTAAAAAATGATACAAATGAACTTATTTACTAAACAGAAATAGACTCACAGACAGAGAAAACAAAGTTATAGTTACCAAAGGGGAAAGGGGGGGGGCTGGATAATTTAGAAGTTTTGGATTCAAATATACACACTACTATATATGGAGTAGATAACTAACAAGGACCTAGTGTGTAACACAGGGAACTATATTCACTATTTTATAATAACCTATAATGAAAAACAATCTGGAAAAAAAATATATATATAGGGAATTCCCAGTGGTTAGGACTCCAAGCTTTCGTTCCACTGCAGGGGGCACAGGTTTGATCCCTGGTCAGGGAACTAAGATATATATGTGTGTGAGTGTGTGTGTGTGTGTGTGTATAACTGAATCACTTTGCTGTATACCTGAAACTAACACAACATTGTAAATCAACTATATTTCAATAAAATTTTTTTTTTAAAGTCTGTGTTTAAGCCAGTTTTGTGGTGGCTTGTTAAGCGGTGAAAGTTAATTAATACATATGTTAAATTTTTTAAGTGTCACACTGCTGAAAAAAACAAAAGTATAAATACAGTTGATTCTTACCATTCAGATTCCATTTTGTAAATTCACCTGTTCACAAATTCATTCGTAACCTCAAAACCAATACTCGTGGTGCTCTGTGGTCATTCACAGACACGCAGAGAGGCAAAAAACTTGAGCCGCCCAACACACGTTCCCAACCGAGGTCAAACAAGGCGACGCTCTGCCTTCCTGTTGCAGCTCTCACTTAGTAAACAAGTCTATTTAGCGCCACAGTCTATTTACGGTCTCCTTATTGCTATTTTCACATCTTTGTGCTTTTTGTTAGTGATTTTGCTGTTTAAAATGGCCCCCAAGCATGGTGATAAGGTGCTGTCTAGTGTCCCAAGTTCAAGAAGGCTGGGATGTGCCTTATGGAAAAAATACGTGCGTTCAATAAGCTTCGTTCAGGCATGAGTTTTAGTGCTGTGGGCTGTGAGTTCAATGTTTATGAATCAACACCATATATTAAATAAGGTGTCTTGGAACAGAAATAAATACACATAAATAAGGTTGTGTATTGGTCAGATGATGAAAATGTGGTGACCCCGTATTCCCCTGGGAGAAGTGATTCAGTATTCACTGACTCAGTGTTCGCAGTGGCTGTGTAGAATGGAACGACCACAAACGAAAATCTACTGTATATACAGCCACTCACTACCTAAGAGACGAGAGCCTCAGATGCCTTTGCTTCCACCGCTGTGAACTCCAGGTGTGTCCCCTTCACTGCCGGAGTTTAAGAATGAAGGAAAGTAGGCCTGAACACATGGGACTCACCGCTAGAGGCGCCTCGGCGAATCTCGCCTGGAAGGGGGCTGGGGCTGCAGGGCACCGACTCAGTGGCAGCTTTGCACATGTCCTGTAAAGAAAACAGGTGCCCGGTTACCATGGGGACAGGGGCATGAGCTGGCGGAAGAGGGAACCCAGATATCTGAGCAAAACTCGGGGAATCAGAGCCTGAGCTGTTAGAGGTTTCAAAACATTTCCCTCCTAATCATAATGAAGCATCAGACACACCCAAACTGAGGGACATGCTACAGAACACCTGACCAGTACTCTCCAAAACTGTGAAGGTCATCAAAAACCTGGGAAGACTAGGAAACTGTCCCAAATCAAAAGAGACTAAGGAGACGTGAGAAGTAAATGCCATGTGGTATCCTGGAACAGAAAAATGACATTAGTGGAAAAACTAATGAAATCCAAATAGTCTATAATTTAGTTAACAATAGCATACTACTAATGTCCATTTCTTAGTTTTGACAAACGGACCATGGCTATGGAAGATGTTAACATTAAGGGAAGCTGGGTGAAGGAAGTACAGAAACCTTCTGTACTACTGTTGGAACTTTCCATAAATCTAAAATTGGTCTCAAATTTAAAAGTTTAAAGAAATCGTTTTGCTCAGTGACCTCCGTGATAACTCAGCTAACGTCCCTGGCTTGAGAAAGCCTTTGCTGCGGGGTCTTGTGTTGGATGGTGGACAGACGAAGACCTGTCCCTGGGATGGAAGGAGCTACTAAAATTGACGAGAATAACCCCCGCAGCCATCACTCGGTAAAGTGGAGTGCTGGAGAGCGCAGCTCTGAAGCAAGCTTCCTTCTCAGTCAAGTGGAGGGAGGAGTAAGTGAGCTCATATTCGTAGAGGATGAAGACAGGGCCTGACAGGCCACGGCAAGTGCTTGGTAAGTGCTAACTATCATAACTAAACAAGCTCTTCACTCCAGGCCTGGCACTTGGTGCCACATACACTCTCTGGTAAATGGCCACAGCGACCCCATGCAGCAGGGCTGTGTGAAAAGCCTGTTTCAGAGACTCGGGGAGGTGAAATCACTAGTCCAAGGTCACTGTAAGCAGAAGGGCCAAGAATGCAACCACCACGTTGTTGGCCAAGCCACCAACTGGGTCCCACGTAGAAAGCTCCTGTTCTGGGGACAGAGGAAGAGTCCTGGTACGGATAACTATCATGAGGAAGATGAAAACTAGTAATAATAATACTTAAAGCAAGCCCCCACTGCGGCCTGCTGTTTACACTGTCCTAGGGCTTTATATAACTTAGTACTCACAACCCTCCTGCGAAACTGGTTTGCCTACGTACATCCTACAGGTGGAGAAAGTAAGGTTCAGAGAGGTTAGGCAACATGCCCGATGTCACACAGCAAACAGTGGAACCAGCCTTGGAATCCAGTCTGCCTACCTTTACTTCCAAGCCTCCAGTCGGCTCTGCCACTGCCTCTCTATCCCACCCTAAATCCAGGGACAGAGGGGTCGAGTGGAGCACCCACCTGGCGGTGCACCACCTTGGCATGCTTGAGGATGGCAATGATGTCGCCCACCACAGTCACGCCCAGCTCATTCATGATTTCCTTGTTGAGATCCAGCAGCATGCTCTTCTGGATCCTGCAGGGGAGGGTCAGCAGGGAGGCCACAAGTGGGCCAGGGTGGGTGGGCCAGCCAGCCCCCTGACTCCCCTCCTTTCCCCAAATTCAGCCCTGTCCCCTCAGCAGCCTTACCTATTATCCACAAACATCACTGCATAATTGACAGCAGGTCCCGGAGGAATGCCGGCTTCCTTAAAGAACTGGATCCACTCGGAAGTGGCTGGGGGGTGGGGGCATGGACAGGGCTCATTATTTCACATTACTCTCCTTAGAGAAGAGCAGCAGCAAAACCACAACAGCAGCAGCTCCCACAAATTAAATGCTTATCAAATGCCAGGCCCTGGGCCTGAGAGCTCTGCATATACGATGGAACTAAGCCGGCCTGACAGCCCTGTGGGTTAAGCAGCATTGACGCCCCCATTTTGCCAGTGAAGAAACTGAGGCAGGGAGAGGTCGGGGGACTCGCCCCAGGCCACCCTGCTAACAAGAAGCAGACTCCCCGAGGCCCTGTGCTTCCATACTGCCCTTCTCCTTGCAGCTCTACCCTGCTCTGGAGCGTGACCCGCAGCAATCACCCCCCCATGCTTGGCCAATGACTGGTTTGGGGGAGCCAGGACTCTGGGTTCTCTACCCAGGTCCCCATCAGCAGATGCGGGCCCAGAGGGTGACAGGATTCATAGGTGGATGGAAAGAAGGGTTGCAGAGCTGACCCCTGGGTGTCAGAAGCAACCCCCCTCTACACAAACACACAGAAGCAGCCCGGCCTCAGAGTGAGGCCAAAGCATAGGCTTCGTTTGCAGCATGGGTTCAAATCCTGGTTCTGCCATCTCCCGGCTGAGGGACTTTGGGCAAGGTAACGCTTGGCGCTTCAGTGTCCTCTAGGGTAATACATTCAACAAGTATGTACTGAGCACCTGGCACACACCAGGTCCTCCTCTAGGCACCGGGGATACCGCAGGGCACAAGACAGAGTCCCTTTCCTCATGGAGCTGACATTCTAGTGATAACAGCACTGACGTCCTTGGTCATTGTGCAGACTAAAGAGAAAGTCCACAAAAAGGGCTCTAAGTGGCACGTGGCCCAGAGGATGTCCTCAACCCACTGCAGCCATGATGATGATGATGATGATGTAGGGGATAATGGTGATGATGATGCCACTGCTACACATGGAGCCAAGACCAGGCAGACCCCATCCATGTAACTTTATTGCTTCCAAAGTTCCTTCTTGGCCTTTTGTGTGTGACCTTCAAACTGACCCTGACCTGTCAGGCCAGGTGTTAGAGAAGATCATTGGTTCCAAGGAGAACTTTTGTTTCACATTTTAGTATCTGTGAAACTAGGATTTACCTCACAATTGATGGTGTGCCACAATTTAATTGGCAACATTTTTTTTTTATCTTTCTCAGGGTACATAACAGTACATCCAACAATCCATGCTATTTTAGATAAGAAGAAATTTGGTGTTACTATGCCCATTTTGCTGATAAGACAACTGAGGCTCAGAGCAGGGAAAGA